TGCCGGCCTGATTGCCCCCAACTGCCCTCCCCTGCCAGCCTGATCCCCCTAACTGCTCTCCCCTGCCAGCCTGATTGCCCCTAACCGCCTCTGCCTCAGCCCCACCACCATGGCTTTGTCCAGAAGGACATCCGGAAGGTCTCCGGAAGGTCTCCTGGCTAATTAGCATATTACTCTTTTATTAGTATAGATACCTATAATAAGAGTTTACTAAGCTGATGATTTAAAAACACAAAAACCCAACATGTCACACAGAACTATTGATGTCTTAGTGAGACTGAAGAGAAATAATTTAGCAGGAATAGATCAAAGTTACAATTCTGAGAAAAAGGATGTTTTATTATTGTGACTTGACCATAATTATAATTATTATCATTTAAGAAAGTTACATAAATGCAGGCTGATCTTGAAAGCTTCAAAAAGCCAAATATAAAGTACAGAAAATAAATTAAATTGAAAAATGTACTAATTCTTCTACATGTTATGCAAAATCCTAACAAGAAACGTTGCAATAATTATTCAAAGTAATATTAAAGATAATACGGGAGATGTTTGGTCTTAAATGTAAATTTAAATGCACAGTGTCTACAATAATAGATTAAAAAAAATAAAATTATATTTGCAATTTCTAACAGAAAAAATAAGTTAGTTTGCAAATACTCTGTATTCTTCAGGGAAATAAGAAAGCAGATCAAGGATCAAATGTTGCATAGTTTTATCAACCAGGCCACCTTTGACGATAATTTTTTAGGTTAGCTAAAATGAGCAATGGTAAAGCTCTACAAATATAACTAACCCATCTGTTATACTAGAGCTAGTACAGCTGCCCCCTTGAACAACGTGGGGGTTGGGATGCTGAACCCATGAGCAGTCCACATATAACTTTGGTCGGCTCTCCACATTCACGGATTCCCAACCTCAAGCAGAAAATACTGTTTTGATCTAAGGTTGGTTGAATGCATGGATGTACAACCCGGGAATATGAAGAAACAACTGTATGTTAATTGAAAAAAATCTGCATGTAAGTGGATCCGGCCAGTTCTAACCCACAATATTCAAGGATTAACTGTATTTTTATTTGTAGAGTTTACAAATCAAAATGTAACAAATAATTATAAGCCAGTATTGGCAGGAATACCAAATATTATTTCACAACTGCCACTACGTGCTTCTTCTTCTCTGACACAATCGGCACAGATCCAGGCTTGCTATGCTTGAGACGATTCACTTCCCTGAAAATAAGACAAAATATATAAAATATAAGCAAGTTTATGAGAAACTTAAACAAATAGAACTTTCTTAGAAAAATCACAAAACATTTTCTTTCACTGGAAAACCACTTATTGAAAAAAAAAAAGGTTTTCACATGGATTAGTAAAAAATAGCTAAAAAATAAACTTTTTTTATCCTAATTACTTGCTACTTCTCTTATTACTAATCAGTGTCCTTTATAAGTTAAAAAATGTGCAGAATTGTTAAAATATTTAAACTCAAGCCCAGTATCTACCCAAAGACAGAAAAATAATCTTTTGTTTAGTACAATTTTTTTAAAAAAGAGCTTCACTGTAGAATTTCTATAATACTTTGCATGAATTCAAGAACTGCAAAGAGAAGAATATTCTACGGGAAATAGTGATGAGTTCTGTGTTAGAGTCAAAAAGTTAGATTCCAGATGTTATGATGAAGCATATTAGAAAAAATTTTTATTTATGAAATGTGCACTATGAGTTCTTGGCATTCTTTATCTTTGAAAATACACAATATCTCTTAATTCTAGCTACATTAGAAATAATTTTTAAAGACATTGTCTCTTTATAACAGTCCTCTAGTATGAGCAGAAGAATTTTCTTATTTTGATAAAAGTCATTTTCATTATCTGCCCTTTAAACATATTCTCAAAAATAGGTATTAGAAATTCTCACAATCTTATATGATTGTTGCTCCCCCTTTTTATTAGGGAAAAAAATCAAAAATATTTCTAATGCACATGAACTGTTCCCTTGAAAGGCAGGTTTTTGTTTGTTTTTCACGATACTGGGGGTGGGGGGTGAATTAGAAAAAGTCAAATGCCCCAGAACATACTTCCGTCGGCGAGCTTCTTTCATGATGCGCTGTTCTTGAATCTGGCTGTAGATCGGTTTCGGTAGATGGCGGTGACGAGCGATACGTTTTATATGAGGATGATATTGAAATTTCTCCTTCAACTTCTGGTTATAATCTTTGGCTGTCTTTTCTCGTGATGTAAGCTGAAAAAAATGCATTTTGATATTTTAATAAATGGTGTGTTCTTTGTTTTGCTTCAGTATAACAAAGCTGGGGGGATCCAAAAATTTCCCCCAAAACTACACTTTTATGATATGCAACCAAAACTGCCAATTGCAAGGTTATGTTAATAGTAATTCGCGAGCACTGAATTTCCTTTTAGACTGCATGCCTACAATGTAGACAAATGCCATCAAGTGAAAACAGCAGTTTAGGGATCAGGATTATGTGGACCACTGAGCTAGACATACAACGAACCACTTATATTAATCACGCGGGTGTTTTTTTCCTGTAGAAACAACTACTGAACAGAAAGTAATAAGTGTTACATTCTGTGATAACTAGTCTTTGTTTAACAATATTAAGGATGATAAGATTTAGAGGAACATTTAATAATGAATTGAAACCTAGAGTATAATACTTAGCAATCATTAAACCTAAAATAGAATTGTCTTTAATTACTGCTTATCATCTTGTGATTTTCCTACCAGGGCTAGGCAGTAAATAACTCACCCTTAACCTTTCCTTCTTAAACTTAATGTGTTTGTAATATAAATACACTGTATGTTTCTTAGATGAAACATGAGACATTTAGAAAAACATCAAAACCAAACAAAAATAGCCATAACCCTATAACCCAGAGGTAGCTAGCCAATGATATTTTTATATTTTCATTGAATCTTCTTTAAAGTCTGGAGCTTTCTGTATTTTTTTAAAGTTATGTGTTTCACTGTGTCTTTAATGTTAAAAGACCTCAAAGGGACCTGCAGCCTTTAATCTGCCAGGTAACCATCAGAAGAAATAGGTGTTCTAAGTTGTACGCTTCCAATCCCTAAGTCTTCTCTCCCTACCTCAAGGGAGACACAAAGAATCAAGAAGGCTCAAACATTATCAAACACCTGATTTGACAAAGGCCTCTGAAGATGCCTTTAACATGAAAAAGGGTAAATCTCTATACAGCCTTGTCCGTTTTGGTGACAGCATTTCTTTTTATTACGATTATGCCAATGTGATCAAAATGCCTAAAGCATTTCAAATAAATTCTCTTTACAATATGATATCCAATAAAATTAGAAACTAGCTTTACTTGACAATGAAAGAGAGTGGGGTCTCTTACCACACCCAATTTTTCAGAAGCATTAGCTTTCCATAGACGAATGTTCATTTCATCAGATCCACACATAATGTACTTGCTGTCAGAAGTCCATTTTACACAGATAACATGTTGCATTCTCTTAGTGTGATATACTTCCCTGTAGAAGAGGAATTAAGTTAAAACCCCTAGGATTTTGGTACAGATTTTCTTGAACCACTGCCTAGCAAGTATAGAATACCATTTTTGAGTCCTAAGAGAATACTAGTATAAGAGAAATTCAAATTCATTTGAACCAAACAAGATTCTATGCTAAGTGCTGGGGAATTGAAAATTTTTCCTGTCTTCAAGAAGTTACAGTGCAATAAGAAAAATATAAACAAACTAAGTAAAACTAGATACTCAGAAAAGTTCATAAAATAATGGAAGTCGTATAACACAAATAAAATATGTTGAAGCTGAAAAATGTTTTAACAATAAGAAATGGATTGTTGTTTAATAAGCCTCCACCACCCTCCAAATCAATTCTGGTCAATTTTCATACTTTTCTTTTTTTATTTCTCAGGAAAACAAAATAAATGCAATGGATTCAAAGAGCACATTCTGCTATGTTGAGTCTAATACACAATTTATGTTTTGGTCAAATTGTTTAAAAAGCTTAATTAACTGAAGTGAGAGTTGATTTGACATGTGTGAAAAGGGAGGGCTATAGAAGTGTCTGATGAGTTGAGGTAAGAATAATTCAATGAAAGGAGCTGTCAAATATCATACCTATTTGGAAAGGCTGTGAAATATGCTAAGTGAATTCACAGAAGATCCTATATTGGGAAGTGTGAAGAAGAGCATTAAATAGCAAAAGACAAGGTCAGAAAAAATAAAAAGATGAGACTTCTGGAGAAATAAATTTTCCACATATGGATTAAAAATTATTCAAAACGCAGACTACTTGAGCGGAAAGAAAGAAGCTCAGCAAACTGCCCAGTAAGAGAAAACATACACATGGTGACCAAATCAAATAGAGTTCACATCTATGAAGGTATCCCTGAAGTACACTCACAAAACTAGTCTTTTACACTGTTTTTAACAGATAGGCTTTGAGCTCTTGAATGAACATGTACATAAACCATAATAAAATTACTTCTAAAAATGGGGAAATGGTTAGAAAGAACATCCTATTAAAATGAAAATAGATTAGATTGCTTTTTTTAAATCCTCTCAATGCTCTGCTTTTACAAGACTCAATTCTTATAGCCTCCATATTTTTTTTAAAAAAGTTTTTATTGATTTTAGAGAGAGGAAGGAAGGGGGGGGAGAGAGAGAGAAACATCGATCGGCTGCCTACTGCACACACCTTACTGGAGATCGAGCCCGCAACATAGGAATGTGCCCTGACTTGAATCAAACCAGCAACCTTTGGGTGCATAGGTCAACGCTCAACCAACTGAGCCACATCGGCCAGGGATAATCTCTACATATTTAACAGGCTGTTCCCCCTCCCCCCACAGCCACGTAATGAATGTAAATATTAGGAAATTCAATCACACTTCGGTAAACATTAAAACCAACCTGTTCACCCAACCAGCATAGCTCAGTGGTTGATCATCGACCTATGAACCAGGAGGCCATGGTTCAATTCCCAGTCAGGGCACATGCCCAAGTCGCAGGCTCGATCCCCAGTGTGGGGCATGCAGGAGGCAGCTGAACAATGATTCTCTCTCATCATTGATGTTTCTGTCTCTCCCTCTCTTTGAATTCAATAAAAACATATTTAAAACATCCACAAAAACCTTAAAATGGCATCTAAGTTCTTATCTATCAAATATCTAAGTTCTTACCTAAAACTTATCTAAGTTCTTTACTATCAAATCAAAAACTTTTTAAAGTTTAATATTTTGGTATAATGATGGAGACATATCATTTTACACATCTGTTCAAACCCATACAATGTACAACACCAAGAGTAAACCCGAAGGTAAACTATAGATTTGAGGTGACTAATGTGTCAAGGTAGGTTCACCTTGGTAATAAATGTACCATTCTGGTGAATCATGTTGATAATGGGGGAGGCCGTGCATATATGAGGTAAGGGGTATGTGGAAATTCTCTGTACCACCCTCTCAATTTTGTTATAAACCTAAAATTGCTCTAAAAAATAGTTTTTATTTGTAAAAGTTTACTATAAAACATTTAAAAATAATTCTAAAATTTTATATCAACAAATGATATACATAAATATCCTGTTTAATGAAAGAAACTGCCAGCAGGCTGATGTTTCGCCCATAAATGATGCGGTGAAAGTTGTTACTCCAAGGCACAATACCAGAGTGTGAGCCCCACCATATAACACAACCAACCTTTCAACAAAGATAAACAATGACCAAGACAAGGAAAAATAAAATAAAAATAGGTGACTTATTGGTGGCAACATACCTGCTTCTACTTTTGTTCACAGGAAAGATTCGAATAGATTTATCAAAACTAGCGGACACAAACTCTTTCCCGGTGGGAGAATAATCCACGTCCAGCACAGCAGACACGTGATCCATGTGCACCATCACAGGAGTGTCCAGTGCGCGCATATCGAAAGTATATAAGCTGTAAAAGGATTTCAATTATTTGATAATGTTATGCCCAGATTTCAAGATCCCCAATAGACCACACCAGGGAGCCAGCCGTGTCCGATGCAAAAGCATAAGAGTCTTTATTTCAAACCCGGGTTCGGCTCCCCCACCCTCCTTACCGACTCAGCGGCAAGTGGTAAAGAGAGATGCAGCCCTGTGGTGAGAGAGGTTTTATAGTAATGGGAGGAGAGAGGACTGTGGGCCCTGCCGATTGGCCAGGCGATGGAGGGCGTAGTCCTCGCCCTTTCAATACAAACTTCTATAATGCAGCATATGCAGTACTAAGAGACATTAGTGAAAGTAAGACTTCTAGCTAAATAATGCACACCTAAATAAACAGCTCAATTCTTCACACAGCAGTTAAGGGGTAGGAAAAAATATCAGTAGTTTTTATTATTCCTTAAGATTACACTTACACACTTTTATCCTTATAAACATAAATCTTGTAGAAAATGTAGAAATTTCAAAGAAGTACAGAAATATACTGAAATATACCGGCTGAAAGCAGGTATCTGGGGTTTGTTTAGCTTCTATAATTGAAACTTTGTTGCTTACGGAGCTCAGAGCCGGGCCGTGGCAGGTGGGGAACCTTGGCTTCCTCCATCACTGGAGCAAGCAAGCCTCCTGCTCACTTCAGCTGCGTGGCTGCTGGCCACCATCTTAGTTGGCAGTTAATTTGCATATCGCCCTGATTAGCCAATGGGAAGCGTAGCGAAGGTACGGTCAATTACCCTTTTTGTCTTTTATTAGATAGGATAGAGAGAGAGAGAGGGGAATACTAAGTAGGAAACATATTTTATTAGTAAGACATACAAATGAGCCGTTTCTGATAGAAATAAGTAAGTTTTTAAAAAAGGAAAACTTACTTGTAATCTTCATTTGCTGCAGTAAAAATGAAGGCTTCCATAGGGTTCCAACAAATTGTATTTGTTCTCATATCTAAGATGACCTGAAAAAGGAAGCATACCATAACCTATTACTATGAAATCAATTCCCTCCAAAATGAATGCATGTCCCAATTTCATCTCCTTCCCTTTTTTTCATTAATTTAAGCAAATATTTACATTAATTAGTAAATACCTATTATGTAGGTACTCAAGTTGGTGCAATAGGAAAAGAAATCAACCAATAATTGCTTCCTGAACACACAGGCAGAGATGTAAATATTAAAAAATATACAAATGTTTAATAAATAGTGTCTTGACCTCAAATAACTTATATTTTAATCAGGAAAATGAGACATGATTGAAGCTAACCTATGAAGAACCATATATTATAGAGCTTGTCACAGGAATATTTTGGGTAGGAAAATCTTTTGCTGTGTGTGACTGCCCACTGTAGGATGTTTAACCTTTCAGGCACCTGCCAACTAAATGCCACTAGCAGTCTCTAAAATGCCCCTCCCACATTTCCAAAAATATACCTGGTGGGGAAATACCATCTGATTGAGAACTATACATTTAGGAGAGAAAAGATGAGAGAAATACTGGGAGTCTAGTAGATAGAAAAAGAAACAATAGAAAATAGCATCTCTGCATCCATCAAGGTGACCTGCATGTGACAAATCCTATTTATATGTCCTTACTAACTGAAACAAATAAATAAATGGGATATACACTGAGACCAGATTTTGGACAGTTTTGAAAGCCAGGCAACAGCTCTTGTCTTACACCTAAAAGTAACGGAACACCATCCAAACATTGAGAATATAAGGGCAGAGGGGGCAGAAACTACTACTTATTTAACTAGTACTTCAAGTTAGCCTCTGCTAACTGCTTAAAGTATCATGTTTTATTCTCACCAATGTGCTGTGTTGTTACTAATATCACCATATTACAGAAGAAACGTATTTTAAGTTACTGTTTAAAGTCTAAAACACAAGTTCATGTAGGATCTTCCCACTACAATACATGAGTGAGAGAAATGATCAAAGTGGTACTTTGGAAAGGTTACCACACTTACCAAGTTCAAACGTCAATGAATATACTCTACTTCTTATATTTCTACATTTACTACATGTTATAAAAATGACTGAGGAACAACAAAAATATTAAAAGCATTTTTCTACATGTGGACTATGACGATGAACTCATTGTACATCAGTGATGTCTATCCCCTCCTGTATGCTCACAATTCTTATACTGGCACTCTTCTCTTTACTGACAAGATTTCTCTCCCGTTAGAGTTAGCCTGAGGTTCTATTAGCTTCGGTATCTAACTCCTGGAATGACTACTTTGCACCATTGGGAAATCTGTCACCTTGAACAGGATAATGTTTGTCTAAATAAAATGCCAAACTAGTACCTGTCAGCCTGTAACTAAACAAATAAAGCTGGTTATGTAAATTAGTTATAAAACTTTCTGGAATAAAATACTGTTGAGTGTCATATGGTAATCATGGGGCCTGAAATAAAGAGATGCAATACTTTCAATTAAAGAACTTTCAACTTAATAAGTATTAACTAGATGCCTAAAATGTATTGGTATTATGGAAGACATACAGACAACTAGGTTACAGTCCCTAGTGGAAATAAGGGTCTCTAAAAAGTATAGGGAGCTGAGAGAATGCCACTTTGGGTTCTAATAACATCTCAATGAAAAAGAATTTTTTAAAACACCGAAGATACATTTACTCCTTATTTTGTAGCTCAATTTACCAAGGAACGCATTAACAATTGTGTGAAACTGAAGACAAGCTGAAACTTACCTTCTTCAGAGGGGTAGCTTGCCTCATATCATATAGTACTATATTCCTGTCAGAAGCACAACTTCCCAAGAGAAATGTCTAAAAATAAGTACAACAATCACCAGTTAAAAGCCAGGCTTGGCAGCAAACCATGTCCATTCAGTGAACAAATCATTTAATTACACTTAATGTTTATGTTTAGGATACAAAGTTATAACATTAATGTCCACTTTAAGAGGATATGATGAATCACTCATAATCTCAGCAACCTAAATATTTTCATTGTAAAAATCCATGTATATATTTTAGATGCCAGTGATAACATATATATAATTCTGTATTCTGTTTTATAACAGAACATATTTTATTTATCCATGATTCACTTAGACCTGTTTCTATTTTTCAGTATTATAAATGACACTTCAATAAACGCTTTTACACACTTAGCTTTTCTAAGGATAAAATTTCAGTAGAGGCATTACTGAATCAAAAAGCATTAAAAAACGTTATGGCTAATCGCTTTCAGAGAGTTGTACCAATATACACTGCAATGTGGAAATATGTCAATGTTATGGTAACTGCAACACTAGGCAATGTCATTTAAGAGTTAATATCTGCATGACACTATTTTCTAATTATGTAAATTATTACTTTATTAGTAGTTAAACATGTCCTCAGGTATATTAGCTCTCCGTATAAATTAGGCCTATCTTTTGTTTAACTGTTTCACGATGTTTCAAATATTCACTTGTAAGTCAGTTATAAATGTGCAAGGTACTTACACAACCCTTGGCATTTGGTGAAAATAAGCCCTTTTGCTACCAATGGAGCCCCGTACCCCACCCTTTGTAGCACCATTCCTCCTCACTCAGGGTTCCTGATGCCAAGAACTTTTGGCTTCTGCCTACTAATTGCTCCATAGAGCAAGTGTTAAGAAGAACAAGACTTATTTACTAAATATCTGTAAGGCCAGCTCCTACTGCATGTGTGTACAAAGTTCAAATAAAACACATCATGACCTCCAATACACTCCTTTTACATCACTTCCTCTCTGAGACTTTCTCCTAGTTAGTGACTCCTCTCAACCTTTCTTGGTGTCTCATTATGTCTTCTCAAGGTCTGACCAGGTTCCATTGATAAATATAGACTTTGATCTGAGCAAAGCAGAAATTCTACCTGGACTGAAAACTGACTTTCACACTGTAAATGGGGTAATGCTTAGTATAAACTTTTGGCTTTAGTAGAATTCTAGGCTTCAATATTTTAACTGAGAATTTATTAATAACCGGAGGAGACAAATACACTCCATTTGTACATAGCAACATGCCCTTTCCATTAAGTTTAATACAGGATAAGAGGCATGCACATCATTTGCTTTTACCACCAGGTCAGTTCATGAGGTTAAAAAAATAAAACATAAAAAACCCACACACAGCTGAACAGAGTATTATACAGACAAATTTGAAAAACATGGTCATGGTCGTAGGTCATGTCTAATAATTATAATTTTAGAAGTGTCATCAGTTCTTCTGACACAGATGTTCACCAAAACACAGAAGCAAAAGATCCTCCCTCAGAGAATCAATACCTGCCTGTTCCTTTAAAAAAAAAAAAAAAAAGTAGTAACATCACCATCTTCAACTTGGATAGCACCTCTTAAAAATATTCACATACATTATCACATTTTACATTGACAACAAACCTGTGAAGTACACTGAAAGATAGAATTAATCTTATTTTAAAAATATACAAATGTAGAGAAAACCCTGGATTGTACAAGGTCAAAGGCAGGCGCAAAGCCATGTCGGCACTAGGTACACCCTGAGGCAGGAAGAGGGTCTCTGACTGACTTCTCAGCAGCACCACAAGGCAAGCTCACACCACAGGGCAGCATCTCAAGCCATTTTTATGCCTTGCTACTCTGACTTGGCCTTTCTGCCCTCCTTTTGTCAACTGTGGGTCTCTGAGAGTGTACTAGTAAAACTTGCATATCAGGACTTTCTCTCTCACTATCTGATACTCTCTTAATAACTTCAAAAATCAGCTTACAAAGAAAGCAATTTCCTTGTCCATCTATAGGAAAAAGCATCTCTACCGATGCACCTACTGTTATATATTCAGAAAAGGCTCCGTGAAAGCTCTGGAGTCCAAGGGCTAGTTTAGCCTTCAGGGGAATTTGCCCAGCTCATTGTGTAATAAACTAGTTTATTACAATGACTGCCCACTGTAGGATGTTTAGCCTCTCAGGCACCTGCCCACTAAATGCCACTAGCAGGTATAAATATAACTCTCTCTCCCGTTAGAGTTAGCCTGCTAGTGGCATTTCGTGGGCAGGTGCCC